CCCCCAGCCAAGGGCTAACCCACCACACAGCATACTGTTGTGAAAGTAATGTGCGTGCGCTATCATGGAGGAGTTACATAGTGTAAAGAGATTTATATTACAGGTATACAAGCAAATAAGTTTATGTACTCCTTAATTTACAGAAGTGATGTTGCTCAAGCATTTACAGAATATGTCAGGTGACAGTACGTAATTGGGGAAAGGAGGGAGGATTATCAGAATTAGGTGACAGATACATCCATGCCTTAACATCACTGTTACCTGAAAACAAAGTCAGCCAGTCATAAAGAGCAGACATTCAGAAATGGAAAAAAAACCTGAACAAAAAACATAACCAAGAAAAACACACCACTGAGCTGGAAACAGTCCTTTTAGTGAATTACTTACTGATGCTTTTCAATAAGCATTACGTATAACCATATGGTTGGTACAATTATTTCTGTGGTCTAGTTTAATGAATAGAGTCAGTTTCCCTGATTCTACGGGAAGCATTCAGATCTTCAGAATGAATCAAATGATTTACCAGGCTACTGATTGTTATTGCCGGCAGTCACCAAGCAGTCCATGGAGACTTCTCCAGATCTCCTCCTATCCATCACTGTGAATCATGAGAGGGATGTCAGCTAAACCTAGGTAACTTCATAGATTTAGTTGCCTTTCAATAGCACAAAAGACAGGTTTAAGGTAAACAGAAGATGCCTCCTAATTTTATTTTATTTTTTTAATATACAAAAGCAACAGAGATGTCTACATCAAACCTATTTAACTTATTTAGGGATTCAGAATCAAACACCGAAACATGCACGTAACAATAGGGTGTTTGCCTGTCTGTTTTACAGAGTAAAACCTGCTGTAATCTTAGAAGGACTCCTTCTTTGGGATTTGAATGCTGTTTTGCAATATGCTGGATCTTTTGTCCTAAAATCTATGCAATCCTGAAAGACCCATATATATTTAGAAATATTATGAAAGACAAATAGCTTAAATGCATGTACATAGGGAAATAAAGGGACAGAACAAAAGCATGTTACCTATACCAGTTTCATGAGTTTCCTAGCATTTAGCCAGATTTTTTAAATGAAATTAACAAGATTCAAACATACTTTAGTTTTTCCACATTGCTTCTAAGGTAACAGAAACAGTAACATTTAAAGCCTCTTCCACATAAGGTATTACACAATACTGAATTCTGCAGCAGCAGGATATTAGACTTGGCACATGTTCTCTACTTCTACAGGTGCGTTAGAGTGATCAAATATTTGAAACAGACATTTCAATGCTTTGAGAGAGCAATCCTGAAGCTGTTGGCCAATGTCAATTTACAGTCAGTAGAACACACTGAGATAAGCAGCTGCTGCTACAATGGCTAATGAAGGGTGACAACTTAAGTGCCAGTACCCAAGACACTCAGCCCCTCAAGAGAGATTAAGCAAGCAAACCTTTATGTAAAGGATAGTATTTTGCTTCTGTAATACTCTATGGATATTCCAGTTTGTGCCAAGAAATACTTCCTATAAAGAAAGGTGTGGAACTGGATAGCTGTAAGAAGAGGTGTCCAAAGCACCCACTTAGATGTGAGTGCACTTCACTGATTGCTCTATGCTACAAAAGACCCCAGGCCAGCCCTTGTAATGTTTTTATTAAACTACCTACAAGTGTTGCAGCAGACAGGATGTTAACTAATTCTGCAGAGATGTGGGATTTCATGCCTAAGTCCACCAGTAATTTGCTATGTGACATAGTTCTGTACAATAACTAGCAAAACAGCCCCAACTTCAACTATGCCTTCCAGTGCTACATCAACTATACTGCAGCTGAGATGACAGACGGGTCCCTCACTGCAAATTGCATATTTATGCCATATAAAGCCAAAGTTACAGCAAGCAATGCCGAGCTGTGATAGCCACCAGGTAACTTCCTGTTCAACTCTATAGCTGTGGGACCAAGGGACACGAACTTGCTTATTAATTAAGCAACTCTAGCTACTACTTCATGATGCAGGAGAGGTGATTTTGGGAAGACTAACCATTCCAAAGGGATAGTCAGCCTCTTCAGAAAGTTTCAAAGTGACCTCCCATTGTCACTAGAGAATGTGACCTGAATCATCCCCTGGACACATGGAAGGACGCTCGGAAACTTGAACTGAGGCTGCACTGACTAGCACTAGAACTCGCCTCCTACTGTGGTGCCAACACCCTTACACAATGCAAGACAAACCAAAACTTTTGAGGACGCAATCATCAATAGACCCCAACACAGACAGGACTTGCAATCAGCCTAATGGGACAGGATATCTGGCACTAGCAGTGGGCTACCACGGCAATTAAGAAACTCAGTAGTCCTTCATTAGACTAGCTGCTTCCATGTCCAACATTTACTGAAAATGACTGCACAACAGTAATTCAGCTGTAATTCATGTTGGTGTCTTACACCATTTTCTTTCCCCCTGAGGATCTTGCTCGTTTGGTAGCTAAGCAGTATTGACAAAGCAAAAAATCTCTTGTACTGCAGGAATGGATGCTTGGAGTTAAAAATGAAGCACACAAAGCCAAGGACTGCAGTCAACAGCAGCTGGCAAATCAATACGATAGCTCCCTAGACTGAAGCAGAGAGAAAAGCAACTGATGTAACCTGTCATACCCAGCAGCCATCCCTGGTCAAAAGCTAGGGCCAGAAGAGTCAGACCTGCCTGCCAAGTGAACCATTCACATTAGTCTTAGCGAGACTTCTCTGGTACAGGCAGACTAGTCATTCTTTTACAGAAAATAAATTAAGATATGGCCCAGTAGAGATACATATATAACAGGCAACTGCCTCGTAAATGACTGTTTATCTCTAACGCATTTTGTACAATGGTTCTCTATGCCTCTACCACCACAATTTCTGCAGTGCACTCTAGTGCACCCATTTGGGATCTAGGACTATTGCTGAAGCTTATACAAACAGCAGCATCCCAATACTTCACATTTACATCAGTTTCTGGAGCTGCCTGCAGAGGTTATTTTTAAATTCTATGGGATATGGGACCTAGTCCCCTTGTGAACTGCTTTTCTTCAAGTGATGTACTCTCAGAATTGAAATAAAAATGTAGCTTCCATACACTATTCCTCCCCCACTATACACTTGGTCTTCTAGACTCGACTTAAGTCACTTGCAGACTAATACAAGGGGAAGGGAACTTGAATCTAATCTCCAGCCTGTATAGTTTCATTTCTGGTTTTCCAATAGACATCCAGTTTGCAAGATGAGTACCTAGTCTCAGGCTTCTAGGTTGTCATAACACCCTCGCATCTGATTATGAGGCATTCGAGAATCACAGCTGTACTAAAAAAAAAAAACACATTTACTGAAGACATTCTGCACAGTAATACTTTAGTAGAATACCCAGCAAGTAGAATACCCTCCCTTGTCCCCTCTGTGTTCTCAACAATTCCACCAATTAACAAATGTGAATTGATTCTGTTAGTCTTAATCAGTTAATATGGACAAAAAAAAAAAAGTTATTTTCTCTGCAAGTTTAATAGAAGTACTCCCATGATGTTTTCCCAAAGTATGGCCCAATGATCCCTTCTGAACTCTTCACGTACCATTCTAAAGTCCTCCTCAAACTTGTAAGCTCCACCTCCCGTGGCACAGAGCGTAGTGTGCAAACTGGAGAAGTTCTTTTCACTCCCCATCTGTATGAACCTGTGCATGGCACAACTGGGAAAGCGGATGAAGTGCAGGTTTCCTTTGCGTCCACACATAGTCAAATTTTTCAGTTCAAGATGCACATCACGAATGCCAGTTTTACCATAGGCTGTATTGGAGGTCAAGTATTTCCTAATGCTTTTCAGGTTTTCCACCTCTTCCTGCTCCTCTTCTGCAGTAATGTCTTTAGGTTCAAAGTAGACCAGTTTAACCAATGTTCCACCAATATCCATTCCAAACCACGGAAACGCTAAGGACAAGGGGGTTGGGGAAGAAGAAAGAGAAAGTCACTATAAAAACACAAGTTAGCCATATCACTTAAAATATTTGCTGAATGATAATTCAGTGCAGTCACAGTAGTAGCATCCGCTCCAGAAAGCTAGTGGTCACTTACATGTCCAAATTACATGTATTAAACACCCCTCTAAGTTAAGACTTCATAAAGCCTCAGTTAAGAAAAAAAAAATAAAGAAAAAAAAATCTCAAAATACTCTTTCCTGGAGAAGCAGGTTTTAATAAAAATGACAATATTTTTTCCTTGGAAAACATTTTACTCTTCAGTCAGCACATCCTAACAGTGCACATTTACTGCATTTCACCCAGTCTGACACCTGGCACCAATTCTTAAAATAGACTAAGGAGGGGAAGAGGAAGAAACAACCAAACAGGAGAACAAGATTTCTCAAGTCACATTCCCACTGTGAAGCATCTACAATTGCTCTTCCAAGACCAGTCAGAATTTCCACAGTCACAAGGCTCTGTCTGAAAAGCAGCAATACACAAAACTCTCCCATCATGCTGGGAGTCTCCAGACTTCAACCCACTAAAACTAGCAGCTCTGTTGGAACTACACGACCTGCACATATTAGCAGAAAGAGAACGAGCTGGTTTAAGTTCAATATTTACCACTGACAGTCCTTTTCTTTGAGCATAGACTCCTTTCCCTGGTGTGTGTGTTAGGCTATCACACAACTATACAAGAAATGCCACTATCTGCTTCTCAGCACATATATATATTCACCACAGCCAGACTAGGTCTACCAACACCTTTGTTCTGTTAATAGCTAGAAAAAACCACCACGGAGAACACGCAGATAGAAGATACTAGCTGAACCAGGATGGTCTGCTTGCTCTCCTTATACATCATAGAACCATAGAATGGTTTGGGTTGGAAGGGACCTTAAAGATCATCCAGTTCCAAACCCCCTGCCATTGGCAGTGACACCTCCCATTTTAAATAGTAAGCTGGGTAACTTTATGAAGCAATAAGAAGTGAGAATTCAAAATCTATACAGAGGTACTGCAGAAGGAGGCAGCTACTAATGTTTCTTAGAGAAATTGAAAGTACTGAGTATGTGGCTAACATCTAAGATCCATTTCTAAAATGGCTGTCACACAGTCACCTCTTTGGTTTTAGGAAAAATCAGGCAGACTTTCTAGAAACACAATTCTACCCACTAGGGAATCCCAACTTAGTATTGATACAAACTCCAAAGCACGGACACCATATGCACTACTGAACTCTCTGTCAGTGAACTTAGATGTAAACAAATTGAGGCAAAAATTTTAATAAGCATAGGAGGTCGTCATCATACAGTTCTTCCTCAGGTAATCACAGATGACTATTAAGTTACTCAACTTCAAGCTGAAAGGAGCTTAGAGTCTTTTACTTCTCACGACAAGGGTCTCAACACCATTCTCATCTGGCTGAATAATTCAGAAGTCTAAATTTCACAATTGTTAATACATCCCCTCCCCCAAACCAATCCTTAAATGTCAGATGTTTGAAACAGCGCTTTTGCTCCACTGCTGTATGGCAAATAATTGGATCACCAGTTTCTTCGCCCTTTTCCTAAGGATAAGGAAGGCATAATGCATAAACTCCCATGAAGTAGATTGCTTACAGTACAGTTTTTCTAAAAACATCTACTGTTATCTGTTGTAAAGTCTGATTTCTTTTCCAAGCCCTACAAGTTGCAAGACACAAAGACACTGAAATGAAGTCTAATTTGAGGTTTAGGAAGATACATCCTGTGCAGATGCATGAGAGCTCCCTGAAATAGGAAGAACTGAAAAAAGTCTTTTTAAAATAGCTTTTATTTTAAACAGGAAAAATATGTTACCATACACTAACCTGTAACTCAAACACTTTTGGAAGTACACAGTAAATATTTAAGCAAAAGTGGTCTGGTCCACCCTGTACAACTCCAGTGCAGTGGAGCTCAGGACACCAATCCCATTAGTGATTTACACAAACCTTTGTTTAAACTACTGAGAACTTTAATTACCTGTCCCAGTGGAACAGTAGGTCTCCTCAGATGCATCTTAACTATCCAAGCAGGAAGTTTAATTTTAAAAGCAGCATGGTTGGACTGCACCATAAAGAAACAGCCTATAGCCAAGTGTAAGACAACTTCCAATATTTTACATCAAGGGCATAAAATCTGCTACAATCTACCTGCATGAACAGTTGCTCTAAAGCTATAGTGTAGATCTAATCTTTAAGAGAGGGAAGAAGCATTCCATCCTTCAATCAAACACAAGGCCAGCAATAAAAGTGTTAAGTACTAACAGCTGAGAGTTATTCATTAATGACTGCCAAGACATCTACTTTTGTACCTGAACATTTTGAGGACTCATAACTAAATCATTAACAAAGAAGTAGAGTAGAAAACAACTATGAAGCTATATCAACTCTGTACAGTTCTTGGGATAGATACACAAAACGATCACATTTAAAAAGCAAGCAGGAATACCAAGACACTTTTTTTTTGTTTGTTTATTCTCCCTGTGACTCTAAGCTTTAATTTTGTTGCGCGCCAGAGAGCTGCAGAAAGAAAAGAACTTTGCTCCTACAACAGCAGCAGTTTTCTTCAGCACAAATAAAGAGCACAAGATCTGTCCACAACAACTGATATTTCAGTTATGCAGAACAGCAGCTTAGTTTTCTTCACAGCTGCGAACACCAGCTCCCTGTTGGAATCACTTGCAATAAAGACAACAACTATTTTGACTGTTTGACCAATTAGGACAAAAACCAAGTTTCAAAGTTCCTGACAAGGCCTGCTGAAATTCATCCAGCTTCCATACAACTGGAGCAACAGTAGAAACACTGCAGTATTCCAGTGATTGTTTAAAAAATTTATTCATTGTATCTTTTGTTACTATCAATATGATCCAAAACATAATGCACCACTGAGGCAGCATCAGCTCTTTTCAGCATCTTTAGATAACCCACCTTAGCTGGTACCTACACACTTTCAAGTCTTCTGACACCACTGAACGCAGGGCTAATGGGAGCATGCATGCGGACTGCAAGGTGCTCCTGGGTCCTCCCGCCTCCCTGAATACAGAGAGTAGGACCACTCAAGGGCCACCAAAATTATCAAGCCCCTTACTACCACAACCAGTGGGTATGAAGAAAAAAGTTATTTGTGTAGATACAGCCTCCACAGACCTGAGGAACAATGAGGTAAAAATTGTGGCCCTTTTTTTTTTTGTTTTGGGTTGTTTGGTTTTTTGTTTGTTTGTTTTAAACTGGAAGTCCAGCATTTCATTGATAACCTGAATAAATTACCAGTTTCTTGAGTTATTAAAAGCCAGGAAAGCAAAGAGAGGAAAATGAAATCTGTCACATCCACGTCTTAGGCTGATAACAGTTACTCAAACTGTGATTTACTATGAAAAAATGAAGACATTGGATATGTTACAGAAATGCTTTCACAGCGTAAAAAATTTACTTCTTAATTAAAATTGTCTGATAAGACTTATGAGCTGATTTCTCTCTTCTCAGTAAAGTCAGTATGCAATATACCTATTGGATCAACGTAATCCATTATTATGGCAAAAATAAAACTATTCTACTGCACTGCCACACTGCAGTAAGTCATATAAAACACCACCACTATAAAATCTTGTTCTAGGTCCTATGGAACTGATACAGAAAGCGTCAAGATGAATCATGCGTTCTTAAAAGCCTAGCATAAATCAAAGACACTGCTTATCTTCTTAAGAAAATTAATTTTCTTTATGTTAATAAATGGCAGCAACTACTTACTGGTTTGTTACCTTGAGATAAAAATCTCCATTACTCAAAAATTTAGCTGTAGAAGCAAGTGACAATGCAAACAGAAGGTATCTACAGCATTGCATAATGAGGTAACCTGATGCACACCAACAGCTGTGCTATCTGGGGGAAAGGTTCACTCATGAGAAATTCCATGACAGATCTCACCTAGTTTCTGCACAAGCTTTGAAGAGTATGAACCTATAAGGCTATTCCTGTAGGGCACACTACGTTCAGAATTGAACACATTTGACTTTTTAAAAATCCTATGCTTAACATACAATATACGGCGGAGGTGTGGAAAGTAAGTAACAAATCAGAACACGGACAAGATCAGGGGAAGCAAGAATGGACAGGAACTCCTGGGTCACTAAGTAACCTTTCCCCCACTACACAAGATAACCCAGGGTAACCCTTTTGTATGTTTAAACAACCACGACAGAAAGCTAGCCGAATCTTTTATTCCTCAGCTCTTTGAAAGAGATTTTACCTGAATCCTGCCAGTCAGAATTTTCCTCTCTCTACCTGGACCCTAGACTTATCCATGACCAAATTGCAGCAGTTTCTTCTCTTGCCAAAAGTGTTTCAGCTTATACATCTCTCTTAAAAGACCTGTACTTCCTTGAATACAGCTACATTACCTCAATTTTTTTCATCAATAATTTGAAGGGTAATATCAATGCCATAAACGTCTCAGATGAAATATCTTAGATTCAGCTGCTTTTCTTCCTGGACACACATATGATGAAATCCTATTACTTAATTTACATTTTTCATTTGCATTTAATTTGCAATGCTTGATGCTTTGATGATCTAAGAACTTCCTGTTTTAATTGGGACTAGAAAAAAAGAGATCAAGCCAAAAATAAGAACAGGAAAAAAAAAAAAAAAAATCACACAAGATAGGATAGTATTCTCACTGCTTCTGAAAGCTTGCTATTAAAAATAAGCTAATAACAGCTTACATACATTTTTTAATTACTTCTTCCTATTTTACACAGTTATTTTGTGCAATCCAAACATGCTGTTAAATGGGAGCATTCGCCTTCCTTTGAACAGAAAAAGAATATATAGTTTAATAAACTGATTATATCTGCTTAGTAATGGAAGTTTCATCAAACTCTACAAACTAGAGCTAAATAAATCACGAACATATATCAGGCAAAGCCTTCCCATTCATTTTCAACAGCAAGGGCTTACTGAATGTCTACATCCTCACTAGAAAATGAAAAAAAATCCCAAACAAAACAAAACAAAACCACAACCCAAACAAAAAAACTTCAAACCCAAAAGCACAGAGCTGTTAAACTGTTGTGACCATTCACACATACCTAGTCATACTACCACAAACTGGTTTCTGAAGATTGCACTGAGAGACTAGGTCATTACCTACCCTGTACAGCTTCATTAAAAATCCCTAATAAAAGCCAAACTTACAGACCTACAAGCAGCAATGATTAGCTATTGAGAACCTCATTCTTGGGTCTGACAGCATCCAGCCTGATGGAAGTGATTTGCATAAGTTTCCCATTTCTATTGACAATGCCTTACCTTGTTGGAAAGGCTGATATGCAGTTTTAACTCACGGGATGCTGGACCACAACACACGAACTAGTGCAGTTTGTTATGATCAGTCCTATTCCTTAGACAACCTGTACTCCCACCTACATTACAATCAACTGGAGACTAGCTTTAAGCAGCGTGTCACCTGAATCAATTCTTAAGATCAAAAGATTGTGTGATATTCCAACGCCTTGGACAAAACTTCAGTAACCAATAATGCTGTACTTATTCGCTGTGTCAAACAATAGCAATAGCATTTTCTCTCCTGTATTCTTCACTAAAATATACTAACCATGGCATTCCTTATTTAACATCACCACAGGTGAAAAAAAGGTTTTCCACAGTTTCCACCTGGCCTTAAGTAGTATTACCATAACCATGCTGCAGCTGCATGTTACATCACAGGTGTAACAACCTAAGCATCGGCCAAAAGCTTTCTCTACTGTGAAGCTACAACTTGAAGCATTTGGAAATTAACCACAGCAATTACAATGCATACCAGTTGTAAACGGTAATGATGCCTCAAAACACATATCCTTTGACCCATAACAACTACCACCTGACTTTGGGTGAGATGTAAGATGCTGATTGGAGTAGAGATCCCAAAGCTTTACCTTAAATTAAGAAAAGCAATAGAATCATGATGTCCAGCTGGGCTTCTTCCCTATGCCTGATGTAGAATAATGCTGTGAAGCCCCAGTCTAGATAACTGCTGTGTTGAAATCTCTGTCCTTACTTCGCTACAATGCTGTTTCACAGGGATCAATGAAGGCACTTAACTGCTCTTTTTCTTTCTTCTGTTCTAAGATCGCATTTAAACTGAGCAACATGACACTTTAGCAGGCTTTTGAAATTTGCAGAATTCACATCATTTTTGTATTTCTTGCTCTTCTGGAGCATTTCATGGCACAAGGCAACATAACAGATACTTATCTGTATTCATTATGCTGTGCTGGGATACAGAAAGGTAATGCAAACCTTAGGCTCTCCCAAAGGGTCTACACTAATGATTTGAACAAGAAAACTGCTATAAACCTAACATCCCTGACAAGTCATTTAGTTCAGCTAAGGAAAAAAAACACGGCAAAGATAAGCTTCTCAGCAGAAAAAGCAGGAGGTGAGTCAAAAGGGTTAGTCCCCAGATCCTCTCTCACCACAGCTTAATCAGCAAAGCACACTGGTTTCACAGGGAATCTTCCGTTCTCAGGAGGGAAAAAGACTTGGGAATAAATAAGTCTACCTCACTTTGACAGAAAGTAAACACCATCAAGAAAACATACAATTTATAAGGATTTAAAGGAATATTTGCTGCAGAAAGATAGGTCTCATTTGTCGAAATACTGGGAAATGCCAATTATCTTAGTATCTCTTCCACCACACAAAGCAAACCCCACAATCAATTCTAAAGTCTTACACGCCATGTGGCAACTGCTCTTCATTTTGCAATGTGTCCTTAAGCACAAAACAAACATCTGCAAAGGCCAGGATTAAATAGAAAAACCAGTAAAACAGGACCGTGTAGTATTTTCTACAGGTGGATACAGTGGAAAACTATGCAGTACGAGGAGAATGAGTAAAATTTAATGCATTTTTTTAAGCTGGTGACAATGTGCTATCACACTTTCCTGCAAGACTAATACTAAATTGCAAATTTATTTTTGTACAAAATAAACCATATAAATAAAAACGTATAAGATCAGCAAGAACTCATGTCTTTCATACAACAAAGAAATTGCCCACAAAATAGTTCCACAAGGCGCTTCCCTCACCTGCTCTTTTCATTGAAGTCTCATTTCATTAAAACCCTGCAACTGAAGATCCATTTGTCATACATCTTGGGCTAGTCACTACATTTTTTTACCCTGGTGGGCTCTTTCTCCCCTCAAGATGGGACAGAAATACCAAATTCCTCATTCTTTCTTATTCAAGTGGTTAGATGAATCCCTAAAAGCCTTATTCTTTGCTTCAAAATAGTTTTTGCTATTACAAAGAGTTTAATATACAAGTACTGACTCTTCTTAGTTACACCAAATAGAAATGAAAGTTAACCCAAGTTCTGCAGCTTTTGCTCCTGAACGAAAGGGTGAGCTGGACAAAGACTACAAAACCAGTTTGTGACAGAGAGTGATTTTGTCACCACTATGTTAAGTTTAGTAGAAGACTAATTTAG